ACATCAGTGACACACTCGGCTATCGCCTCGTGTGCCACTTTTTTGTTCTTACCACATTTTGACGTCATCTGTGATCTATTACTGAACAGACGCACGGCGACATGGAATCTATTTGTTAAATAGATAACGAGTAGCGTAGCCAATCAGAGTGCAGTATTCGTGATAGAACGCTAGTAGATTTATACTAAAACTAATTAGTTAATTCTCGATTCTCGATCGTGATTTGTTCTCCGCCCGCCTATTTGTCACGTAATCGTCGCGCGATTACATGGGTGTCCAATTACAGTTGAATGATTTTGCCATTTACCCGTAATTAGACCGTATCAATAATAGTAACATTTCATTTTTGAAGGGCGTATTTCTTAACTCAATGCGACTAACAGTAAATAACTAACCAAACAAATAGGACACAAAAAGACTAACCGAAATAACTAAACAATTACTTAAGAAAAATAACAGAGTAGTTCTCGGTATTGGACTGGAACTAGCTTGCAACTGAGGCTGATGTGGGGAGTCTTCAAATGCAAATCACATTAATTTCTTTTCAATGATATCCCTGCATGAGCGTCTATTGCAAGCTAGTTCCAGTCCAATACCGAGCATACGAAAATTATCTATTAAGCGCGCTTTAAAGTCTTCCTTCTTAATTTTTCCAACAGTTTTTAAACTTGTAGAAAGCGCCACTGACTTTTCCGCTCAAAAGAAGTTATCAAACGACTTTTTTAATTTCGAATTTTGATATTGATACGATTAATTACTAATTGCACCGAATGGAGTACAATTTAGGAAGTAATCGTACTACTGTAATTGTACTATTTGAAATCGGCCTCGCGCTTCGCGCTCGTCCGATTTTAAAATTACTTAGGGTTACTCTACCTAGCTTGTACTCCACTCGGTCCAATTACTTTTACTAATTATTTGATATTATATATCATTTCCAACTAGGTGGGACCCAAGTCAACGCCAGAAGCACTACAGTGTCTTTGTAATCACCTGTCTTCTTTTGGCGGGAACTTTTTCGTCGCACCAAATCCTATAGACTTTGACTACGTGTTCAAACAGTTTCCCAAAATTTTTGAGTCCGGAAATGTTGTTGTCTTGGCAACGGTATTATCCATGTTTGGTTTGTGGATTATTGGTGTCATCATCGCCAGACGAGCTGATAGAGGGGATGAGTACAAAGTAAGAATGTTAGAATATTAGGTCCTCATTTAATATGATACGAGTACAAAGTAACAATGTTACAACTAGCTCCTCATTTAATACGACATGTTTTGAGGCATGTCTTGGGTGAAAAATAAATGGCTGAAAGCGATAAGTGTCGTTTATTTACTCATTTACACATACAAATCACAGAATAGGGAACTCTAATTTCGTGGTTATGCTTCACGCGTAACGACCAATGTTCATAAAGGAGAATGTTGACATACGCTGATGATAATGATGATGATGATGATGATGATGATAATGAAAATTATCTTTGAAAATATGACGCTGAAGCCTTCCTTAAGACCAGAAATCCTCTTATTATATAACCTAACTATACTCAATTACTTACCATAATGTGAGTTGTAAGTGTGGCTTTTGTTTTCCTATCACAGGCAGTTGAAAATCTTCGTCTCCAAGCAGGAGGTGAACACCTGTATGAAGTGTCTGTGTACACTGGAATGTGGAAAGGTTCTGGCACATCCGCAAACGTCGCCATGATTGTGTACGGCGAGGAAACAAGAAGCGAAACTCTACGATTGTTCGACAACTACAGAAACAAAAAGCTGTTTGCAAGAGCCAGCATAAACACCTTTGTTGTATCTTTGCCAGATAGTTTGCATTCTCCAATCATGATCAAACTATGGCACGATAATTTAGGGTCTTCTCCTTCCTGGTACGTCAACCAGGTCGTTATTAAAAACCTGGAGACGGAGGAAAAATGGTACTTCTTGTGCAGCAGATGGCTTGCAGTTGACAAAGAAGACGGCAAAGTGGAAGCAGATATTCCACTTGCGAGCAAAAGCGACTTGTCAAGCTTTAAGTATCAATTCTATACCCGCGTGTCAAAGAGTTTGGGTGATGGCCATATATGGCTCTCAGTGGTGACCAGGCCACCGCATAGTCCTTTCACGCGTGCACAGAGACTTTCTTGCTGTGTATGTGTGCTCTTGTGCGCCATGCTGGCAGGAGCAATGTTTTATCAGTTTGGCGAAAAGCAGGAAGACACGGTTAAGTTTGGTCCTTTGCGATTCAGTTTAAAGCAGCTGCTAATAGGGGTCCAGAGTGCGGTTATTGTTGTGCCACTGAACTTGCTTATCGTTGCCATTTTCCGCAACATAAAGCCTCCGTATAGTAACATCGAAAAGTATCATCAAGAAGAACGCGAAGCATCAAGAGGGAACGTTGCAGATTCACTTAAAAACAAAAAGGCTAAGACTCCAGGATGTCTTCCTCATTTCTTTGTGTATATCGGTTGGCTGCTTTGCATTCTTGCGTCAGTAACAGCTGGAACCTTTGTTATATTCTACAGTGTTCAATGGGGCAAAGAAATATCAAACCAATGGCTCACTTCAGCTTTGATCTCATTCTTCCAAGACGTAGCACTCATGCAGCCCATAAAAGTCATTGCTGTAGCTTTACTCCTCGCTCTAATCCTCAAGAAACCACCCGAAGAGAAAACTGCTCAATCGGTGAAGAATTCTGCCTTAGAGGTCAACACAAATGTAAATGTTGTGGCGCCCACAGGAGAAGAACTCCTTGTGGCACGAAAATACCGGGAAAATATAGTGGAGACTATCAGCAACCTCGTGGAGATTGTGCTGTTCTTGATTTTCGTCATTTGCCTTTTTGTGATTGTGTATGGAAATCGCGGGTACAGTCGATACAGACTTACTTTGAATTTGGAAGACTTGCTGAAAGATTCATTTGAAGAGGTAAGACTCTTTGAGTTCTTTGAGTGCCCCGTCTGTAATCTATGTTAATTATCTCGCAAAGTTTCAGTGCAAATTATGCTAAGAATTTTGGCCAAAGAATTTTTCAAAACAGTGTCTGGAGTAATGTCATTGTTCCGACTTCTGTGCGCCAGGAATAAATACTTGCTGTTTCCGCATCGTACTAATAAAACTAGGCAAATAAAGGAGTCAAACAGGGGTATTAATTTTTAACTTGTTCTTGACATAATAGGAGGCGCACAGGAATACTCAAACTGCTTAAAGAGGGCTTCGTTTACTGAACAGCCAAATGCACATTTCGGAAGATTTCGGAAGTGAAAGCACTGCAAGTTATTTCGCTCCAATCTCTGAGATAAAATTGAGGCGCAGAACCGAAATCTTCTCTCCAGCGTTATAAAAGGTTTTCTTGTTACAAACTTGTCATTAAAAAAATCAAACGTTGTTTATTTTTACTTGAATAAGAAAAATTATAATTAACATGAGCGGCAGCTGTTGACGTTTGTTTTTGTTCACAGGTCGATTCAAAAGATGCCTTCTGGGAGTGGATTGAGGAAGAGTTTATTCCAGGTATCTATGATACCAGCTGGTACAATGGCCAGCGGTTTATTGCACCAGAGGGTTATATCAGCACCAGGGAGGCCTTCTTAGTTGGCATGCCAAGGTTGAAACAAGTCAGAGTCAAGGAAGGTGAGATAAAATTTCAACCAATCAGTCTATCAATCGATCGAACAATGGATCAATCAATCAATCAATTAATCAATCAATCAATCAATCAATCAATCAGTTAGTAAGTCAATCAATCAATCAATCAGTCAGTCAGTCAGTCAGTCCGTCAGTCAATTAATCAATCAAATAATCAGACAGACAGACTGGAGAGCTAAGATATACAGTCCAAGTAAACGTTGCGCCTTGTCTTGTCTTGTGTTGTCTCGTAATTTTCAAGGGGCATTAAATCGGACTGATTTTCAGTTGCACACTCATTTCTCTTTCCTTTTGGTTAGAAAACCCATGTCAGGTTGCAACAAAGTACCTGCCGTTGGACGGGATGTTCAAGAGATGCATTCCCGCGTATTCAGCCCATGACGAAGATACCACACGCTATAACCTTCCTGGGTGGATACCGGTGACAAATATCAGTAGATTCCACTCGATATATGATGTGCGGAGATTGTGCCCCAAACCATGGCGTTATAACTCTTCACAGGAGCTTAACACCTTGTCCTATTATGGAAAACACACGAGATACGACGGAGGAGGGTATATTGCAGATCTGGGATACGACTCGCGAACTGCTTCAAGAGTTGTTATTAACCTTAAAAGCAACGATTGGATCGATGACAGAACCGCGGCTATTCTTATAGAATTCACCATTTTCCAGCCGTCGACCTCATTATTCAGCGTGGCAAAACTTCTTTACGAAGTTTATCCCACTGGAAAACCAGTCAGCCAAGCGCGATTCGATACCCTTTCTATATATGGTACCTCTGACCCCAGCATTCACTCTTTCTTTGTGGCTTGCCAAATTATTCTGTTACTTTTGATTGGTTACTTTCTGTTGCTGGAAGTTGTGAAGATCTACCGCCAAAATTGTTCATACTTCCGCTCATTCTGGAACTGGATGAATCTATTCCAGCTTATTTTCGCCATAACAACAATAGCCTTCTTTTTCTTTAAGGAAAAGTACGTGTCTTCATTTGTAAAGGAAGTTCAGGAAAATCCCTTTGAGACTGCCAGTGCCGACCATTTGCTGTTCTGGTCCGATATGGAGATGATTGTGCTCTCGGTCGTTGTGTTTATTGTCACAGTGAAATTCTTAAGAATAATCAGATTCAACAGGCACGTTTGTCAAATGGTGTCCTCGCTTAAGCTATCAGCACCTCACATCACCTCGTATTCTGTCTTATTCTTCGTGAATATACTTTCGTTTACCCTGTTTGGAGTACTCGTGTTTGGCAATGACATGGAATCGTACCATTCATTCATTGAGGCCTTGGTCACGCTGATTCAAAAATTCCTCGGAGGAAACTTGTACTTCTATGAGCTGCAATCTTCCAACCGTATTCTAGGCCCCATCTTTGTATTTGGCTACATGTTCAGCATGGCTTTTATCCTCATCAACATGTTCGTGGCAATTCTAAACGAGTCCTACGAAAGTGTCAAGGAATTGTCTGGTGGAAAATTCGCGGACGCAGAGCTAGGACATTTTATTAAGCAATACTATTTAGCGCGATTTCTACGCTTGCATGAAGTCTTAAAGCGAAAGCTTGCCACTACTGGCTATCGACATAAGTTCTACGACCGACCCAAGATTGAAAAAAAGTCAAAACTACGGGAGGAGTATGTTGGGAGCTTTTTGTCTCTGCCTTCTGACTATCCGCCATTCGTCGAACCGTGGGAATGTCTTGATACTTCATCGCAACTCACATTAATAGACAACGAAGTTACTGTAGACGAAACAGAAGCGATTCTGCTAGGCGCAGAAGCTTTCCCGTCAAGAGATGAATCAATTGAATTATCCACGGATGAGCCAGATACAGCCAGTACACCTTCAGACGCTTCTAGTGGTGGCTGCAGAGCAGAACTCTTAGACTTGTTAGGCGAACTTCCTCCGTCTGTGGTGGCGCCTTCATTCGCCTGTAGTAGTACTTGTTCAAATGCGGAGTTCTTGGATTTGCTAGGAGATCTGCCCGAGTCTATGGTGGATGATGACGAGACGATCGACAATGTTCGTAAAGGACTTGCTGATGTAGGTGCGGTTTTGAGACTTGATAAGCGCACTTTCAGGAGGTTCTCAACCACTGGGGATAAGTACATTGTGCAGACAAACTTTAACATGGGACCTTCAGTTGCTTTGAATTTTAGAGCAAGGCCAGATCCAACAGGAAGAGCTGCAATCACCAAATGATCAAACGGTCACAAAAAGTAGATATTGCTTTTTTTTTTTGAGTGCCGAGCTTGATAACATTTGTATTGAAATATTTTTAGTCCAGCGATTTTAAGTAATTTGCAAGATTCCAAGCTTAGACCCCATCCACTGGTTGAGCTAGGTGGATTTTGGTTCATTTTTGTTTTTTGTTTTCATCATCTGTTGGTTGTTGTTGCAATTATGATTGACGTCAGAACAAAATCAATGTTTAGTTTTGTTTTGAGCTTCAAAGCTAGCGGGTTATTTAAAATGGTTACAACAAGCAGATGTCAGTTCCTTTATACGTCACTGAAAATTTTAACAATGAATAGTATCACAGCCCTTTGTGGAGGGGATCGGGCATCGATAAATCTGTCTACCCGTGTCTTTATTGAAAGCAGAGTTTAACTAATAAAAGCGCGATAGATTTTGATCTTTACAGTTTTAAACACCACGGTGAGGAATAGAAAGGATAATAACGATGCCGGCTTGTTGTTTATTTCTTTTCGCCGTTCATCCCTAAATAATCAGGACGACGGGTGTTGCAAGTACATGAGAGGAGTTCGAGATGAATCGGCTCCAGCGCGACCCAGTTACTTATCCAATATTTCGTGGTCTGCTATTTCTATGAACTGATGGAAACTTAGACCAAAATTAATGACTGAGCAGTAACAGAACGCCGCACACGTCATGATATCTAATAGTTGTTTTAATCAAATTGCTTTTCTAGAAATAATTTCAGGAATCGATCTCACTATTTTTCTTTAAAAGTCAAATTTGTCAAAAAAAACTTTAGATTTTAAATAATGCTTTTGTAATATAAAGTTATTTCAGAAATTTGAAAGCAACTGCAACAGCATTAAAAGTCAAACGAATCGCAATATGAACCAAAGTGTCTGGTGAAAGTCGTGGGGTATTCTCTAAGATATTCAAATGGTTTGGGAAAGCCTTCACCATGCATGTTGTTCTTCAGTAAAACACGAACGTATTCGCCCGCAGAGAATATTAGTTATTTATTGAAAGCACTGCAAAGAAGATAGTCGATCAATATAATACGATCGATATCAAGATGAACAAAGGAAAGATATATACACATATTACATTTGGAAACTTATGGCAAATTTAAACACAAACAATTATCTTTTCAAATGATGCATATTCCTACCACTCGGAGGTCCACTCACATTTCCGCATCTTGGAACAGCTACGCAGATTTAGCAGAGAAATAACCTCTCCTCCTCCCCTTCCCGCCCTCTAGCTGGGCAAAGATCTGATTTTCCGAACCTTATGCATATTTTAGGGTGCCGTGTTAATGTATTGGTAGCAACCGTTCATTGCATGTTTTGCTTCATTAATGACTCCGGTACGCTACCTGTTCAAAAGCAGTCTCCATCCAGAATGATCAGGAAAGATGAAACACTTGATGTCTCACAATTTCCGTAAACGGGAAGCGTTTATATTTTTGAAATATACAAATTATTTTTTTATGTACTACAAACGCAAATCAACTGCATGCTGGTTATCTTTGCCTTTCAAATTCCGACCTGGACTTCCTACTCTTTATCTCTCAGCATGTAAATATATTTGACTCATACTATAACAGACGGACTCTGTTCAGTAACGTGATCTTGTCCATAGCTAGTGACTCAGCTTTTTCCGATCGCAGATATATTGAATGCTTCCTTCTGTTCAATTGACTGGCGTCTGTTTGCCAATATCACTCAAACATTAACAAGTGCCCAGTTTAATTTATTTATAAGAACCAAAAAGGTACCGCCATGTATTTTTCCACTCTTTATCTGCCAACAATTATTTAACATTTTTCCTTTTCAAGAGAAAATACATTTGATCTTGTTCAAGTATTGGCCTTTTTGCATGTTTGATGTCTCGTCCATAAATTTTATAACGAGGATGACCAATCAGGAGACAAGAGGGCCTTAATGGATAAAATTCTTCGGAAGCTCTTTCAAGCTACTTTCACTCCTCCGTTGGTTAGACGCCATTGTCTTTTCCTTTCTCGAGCGGCTTTTCTTCGTGTGACAGTAAATTTCAGGTATGTTATACTATTTTTGTGTACAAATGGCCATGTGTTCGCTATGTTCTTTTATTTTTCACGTTTTGTGTATCGTTACTCTTTAAAGTTATTCCAAATTTCTCCAGTTTTTTGGCCTTAAGGGTGTGATTCCCAATAAAGCATTTGGTCGCATAGTTGTTTAGACTGTTAAATGGGGCATAACCTTTCCTCCAGATATAACATACTGCTAAAAAAATACTAAAAGAGAAGACAGGAATTATGTTAAGAACCGCATTTTCTTTTTGAAGTTGTGTAAAAAGAAAGTATAAAAATAATACTCTTAATAGAAATTTCGAGAAATTATACTCATGCAACATTTACTATTTGCATATACGTAAGTCTCCCTCCAATTTAGTGCTTAACAAAAAACAAAAGGAACCATTATGATTGGTAGAATCTAAAATCGTTCTTACCATGACACAGATGTATACGGTTTTTTTTACAAAATAATAAAGGAATATCGCAGTAGATCATGGCAAGCACTGTTATTATGCATTTTTTTTTTAAATTGAGAAAAATAACCACAAAGTTAAGTTTTGACCATCCATGCTCTTAGTTCAATTCGCTCACATTAGTACTTTGATTCCATTCATCAAGTTACTTCGCAGCTTTTGCCATTTATCGCATTACCGTTGAATCTAATGTTCATGAAAATAATCGTCTTACGAGCTTTAAGCTTTTCTTCAAATAAATTCCGTTCCGACACAGTTTGTTGAATATTTTACTAATTATCAAGAGCTAACAACTCTAAACGTAAACAGTTTACGAATTTTCAACATTCGTGCGGAATGGCGTCATCTCTACCGATCCATGTGTGTGGACCCTTATGAACAATGACAATCAGCCAATGAGCGCATGAGAAATTTAACACTTATTGTTAAATGCAATATTTCAGAACGTTTTATTTAATTTCAATTTTTAGTTTAGTTTAGCTCGATCCACTAGTTGGAGTCAAGATTCTTACGCCGAACAATGGTATAACTAAAAATTTAAAGGAAGTACTCGAGAAGTGTCCGTCTGTGCTTTGAATTTAAGCATGAGAAACCTAAGGACCGGTATTCAGTTAAGTCACAAACAGCTGCCTATCAGTCGCAATTCTCTAATTAACAGTTAAATGGAGCCTGCGGTCAATATAGTTGAAAATACCGTCAGTAGAAATATTGCTTTTCGATGCATATCTTGAATACTTAAACACCTTCGAATATTCTCATGCCATTCAAGTTTCACTATTGTATATTTCAATTTTTTCTTGAACTTTGAACCTGATGATAATGACATAAACTTATCGAAACGCCGTTCAATTTT